TGGTGATTAACTTTGATAGACTTAGCTCTTCTTAGCAATACAGTGATCCAAGACAATTCCAAAAGACTCATGATGGAAAATGCTAACCAAATCCAGAGAAAGAACTGTGGAATCTGAATGCAGATTGAAGCATACTATTTTCACTTTTTGTTTTTTGTTTTGTCTTTCTCGTGGTTTTCCCCTTTTGTTCTGATTCTTCTTTCACAACATGACTGACATGGAAATATGTTTAACATGATTGTCCATTATATAATGTATATATTATATAATGTTATAATATTATATATTATATAATGTATATATTATATACATGATATAAGTTATAACTTATATTGCTTGCTGTCTTGGGAAGAGGGGAGGGGAGGGAAGGATAAAAATGTGGAACTCAAAACTTTACAAAAATGAATGTTGAATGCTATCTCTACATGTAATTGGGGGAAAAAAACAAAATACTACTAAGAAAAGAAAGATCACGATTAGGTCTTGCTGATCTTTAAGCAGAAAGAGTTCATTAGAGATACCATTTGACTGAGTGGATGGAGAATGAGAGCAGGAAGTGGAAACTGAAGTGGAAGCTTCTTGAAGGCAAAGACTGTGCCTTCTCCACACTTTGGCCCCCTTCCCCCACCCCCACTCTTTCAAATGAGTAGTTTTTTTCTTGTTTTTGTTTTTGTGTTTTGGCTAGGCAGTGGTGTTAAATGACTTGACTTGCCCAGGGTCACACAGCTACTGTTATGTGTCTGAGGCTGGATTTGAACTCAGGTCCTCCTGAATCCAGGGTTGGTGCTCTATCCACTGTGCCACCTTGCTGCTCCCTAAATGAGTAGTTTTGTAAATGTTTTGTCAATGCCCCCTTCCTTTGGTTCCTTGTATTTGTTGCATTAGTCACTTGAGTGTAGAACAGAAGAGATTTTCTAGGGTGGAAGATAGGTGGAACCAGCCCCTCTTTTTCACTGAGTTCCCATCCTGTGATGTGACTTCTGATTCACATGAGTAAAAAGTGAAGAGAGGAATTGTGTGTGATTTACACTGGTAAAGAGTGATGGGTTTTATGGAATGTTAAAATGAAACTTTATTTTTATAAAGGAAGTTCTTTGGATCAGAGAAACTGGGTTCTAGAAGCTTTATATTTGTATACCTTTCCCTCTTACCTGAATGTTTCCTTATATTCTGTGGTGGTTGGCAGGCTTTCAGAAGAATTCTGATTAAGTGAGATGTTTAGTAAGTTCAAAGCCTAATTTCTCCTTCCTAATTAAAAACGTGCGTCTGTCATGCTGTTGTTGATTAATTTACATTTTCCAGCAGTCTAGCTGGAATATTGCTATCAACTCTTTTGACTGGTGGCATCTTGCTACTGAACAGATTAGTAGTCTAGAATTCAGAATCACATTGAGAATAAGGAGGGCTAGATTGGGTGACCCCAGGTAAGGTTTCTGTAAGGTTAGAATTTACCCCTTGAGTCTGTTTAGGAAGGCATTGCTACTATTTGTTTCTTCTGATTCTTTACCACGTTCGCTTTCAGGAAGTGTGATTCTGTTTAAAATTAATTTTTATTCTCTTCCTCCTTTTAGTCTGTGTGTGTGTATGAGAGAGAGAGTGTGTGTATATATATAGAGTTTTAAAAGTAAATAGAGTTTACTGTGTGTGTCTAAAATTATGAGATAGGATTTCTGTTGTGGCATAAAAACTAACTCTGGAGGCAAGTAAAAATGGGGACCACTTCCAGTTTTTTAAAAGATGTCAGTCGCTTAAATAAACATATGGATGTTTGCGTGTGTGTGTGTGTGTGTGTGTGTGTGTGTGTGTGTGTTCTACTTTCTGAGAGAAAACTCGATGCAGGTACTGGATACTGCATCGCTCCAGAGCTTGAGTTAGTGAATTTAGCTGTTTAGCACTTGCTTATTAATAAATTTGTAAATACTTCTATAGGATTAAACACCTCCCCCCGGCCCCCCCCCCCCCCCTTTCCCTGCTTTGTGGCGACATTGCCTAGTCTTGTAAAACATCTGAGAGTGAAGTGTTATAATGATTGTGTTTTCTTGCTGCTAGCACAAGAAGTCGTAGCTTCAAAACCCCTTCATGCAGTGATAAACCTCCTAGATATGCTTAAGGACTTACTCCAACACATTCATTCTCTTCTAGTCCACCCTAGGAAAAAAAAAACAAAACTATTTCTCACCCTAAAGGAAATCTTTTGCAAACACACTTGCCAAAAATATGCTTTGTATTACCTTTCTGTTTGTTTTTTTTTTCCCCTGGCTGCCTTGGTGTTGATATAATTCTCCCTGATTAAATATTTGTGCAAAATTTACTCTCAGGTGCCAGTGAATTTACAGACAGTCCCCTTGGTGCTCTAGCATTAGACCTTGTGGAAATGTTATTTTTTCTTTGTTTTTGAATCTTTCTTCTCTCCCTTGTTCTTACCCCACCTTTCTATCCAGACCCAACATCTCCAGGCATATTTACTGAAGGTATTTAATTTCCTCACACTCAGTTCTAGGCTTATGCTAAAACCACATCCATCTTGTCAGAGCTCAAAGTGTTTTAATAACATGCTATTGTTGCAGCTTTTTCACAGCCAAGACCAGGAACTTTCTTGGTGCTTCTGCTGAGAGTTGAGACTGACGCCGGCGGGACTGTGTATAATTGCAATGTTTGCTGGGAGGATTTCAGCCTTGTATTCACCAGACTACATGTTGAAGTCTTAGATGGGTCGTTTGGGGTTTGGCTATTTGTTTTATTTGGTATTATTTCAGTGAGATTTCCTTTTGTAGCTAATATTTTTCTTTTTTATTGCTCTATATGGTCAACAATTCTTGTCTGCTTTTACTTACAGTGTTTAGAAAACCTAACTCATGCAGTACAGAGATGTAGCTGTGAGATTTTAATGAATATCCAAGTATAGTATGAGAGAAACATTCTGCTTGGATTTTGTTTTCTGTTAATCTTTTCAAAAGGTATATGAAATGATTTAAGCCAAATAATTTCACTCAGTAAGGATTTATTGAGGCCTTTTATGTACAAAGCACTGTATTTGTGTGAATACTGAGATGGATAAAGCACCATCCTAGTCTTCATGCAGCTTACAGTCTAGTAAGGATGATAAGACATATACAGAAATAACTATTACAAAGTATATCTTAATAAGTATTACCAGAAGGGTAGAAAACAAAATACCTGTGAAGTTCAAGGAACTCTACAGTGGCATAAAGAAACAAATAGGAATAATCTATTATGACATTTTTCACGGGCCTTGTTTTTACTGTGTATGTCTAAAATTATTACTAACTAAACAGAGGTATTTATGAAGTGCTTATTATGTGCTAGTACATCAGGAGGTGAGTGAAGTACTTTCTACCCTCAGATTTCTCCTCACTCCCATTCTCTCCCTGAAGAGTTTTCATTCATCAGGATTCTACCTGGATCCCATCCCTCATAGTAAAGTATCATCTTCCTTTCCTTTCACAGTTTCTGAGACTTCCTATTTGTGTCCATTTTTTCCCTCATGACATACTGTAGGAGTCCTATTAATGTCCCTCTGTTGATAGTGTCATTTCCTTAAGGAATTTGTTTTCATTTGAGAAGGCTTGCCTTTCTTCCATTTGACACTAAAACTTTCTATTCAAGGGTACATGGTGGTATACATTGCCAATTTTTTAATTTTTTCATATGGTCGCCTGGATGTATATGGAAGCTTAGACAGTGGTGATGATAATGAACTTGCCTGGCCTTTGACATCTTATATCATGCTGAGCAGTCAACAACTCAGGGCTATAATTCTGTTTATTTACTCTCTAAGTCAAACATCTGAAAGTAGCTGTCTACGCTTATTGGCCCCATTTCCTCTTCCTCATTCCTAAGCCTTTTGCCTTCTGGATTCCAACCTCATCACTCAACTGGAATTGCTCCCTTCAACATTATCAGTGATCTCTTAATTACAAAATCTAATGGTCCTTTCTCAGTCCTCAGCCTCCTTGACCTTTCTGCTGCATTTGACATGATTAAGCACTTTCTCCTGCAGGATACTCTCTCTTTTCTGGGTTTTCCTGCACTTTTCTTTCCTGGTTCTTCTAGTTGTCTGACTGCTGCTTCTCAATCTTCTTTGCTGTATCATCCCAAACTGTGGATGAACTCCAAGATTCTACCCTGGGCGTTCTCTCCCTACTCTCTTTGTAACCTCATCGGCTCCTATGGGCTTAGTTATTATCTCTGTGCTGAGGATTCACTTTTCCCACATCATCAATTATCAACTGAACATTTCTAATTGGATATCTCATAGACAACTCCACATGTCCGAAACTGAACTCGTTATCTTTCCCTCCCAATTTTACCTTTTTCTCATACTTACCTTTTTCCTCTTACTTGCGGTATCCTTCTTACAATCTCTCAGGTTGGTAATGTTGGCATCCAGACATCCAATCAGTTGCCAGAGTCTGGCATTTCTATCTCCACAACATCTCTTGCATCTGGCCTCTTTTCTTTATTCACACAGCTACCACTTAATTTAGGCTCTCCTCACCTCTCAGTTGAACTATTACAGTGATCTCCTAATTAGTTTCCCTGTTCAATCTATCTTCTACACAGCTTCCAAAGTGGTTTTCCTTAGCTGAAGATCTCATTCTGTCACTCCTCTACTCAGTAAACTCCAGTGGTAACCCCCTTTGGCCTCTAGGATAAAATATAAATTCCTCTATTTTGTTTTTAAAGACCTTTCCATGGAAAATATTATTATCCCCACTTTACATATGAGAAAGTTAAGGTTTATACCAGAGTAGTAACTTGGCTATGGTCAAGTATGAGAGCCAACACTTTTTGATCTTGTCTTCATTGAACCACATTGTCACTTGAGTTTTGATACAGTTATAATTAAATGGTACTACTTTACTTTGTCAGAAGCTCTAAGGTTGTGGGAAGGTCCAATCAATAAGTGTAAAGCTGTACAGTAACTTACAGATACTGGGTTGCTTTTTCTTTAACCCTGTACTCTCCTTTTCTTGAAGGTTCAACTATCCCAAGCCCTAGAAGAATTGGGGAATCAGAAAGAGCGAGCTGAAATGGTAAGTCTACATGCACTTCTGCCAGGTACTGTTATGATAAACCTTTGTATCCCCAGCATGTCAATCCAGTCCTACTCAGGGATTTTTGCTACTTGAGGGAGAGTTGCCACCTTGCCCAAATAGGTCAAAAGATTTGTTTGCATACCACCACCACCCCCAATTCGGCAAAAGATTTGTAGTTTCACAAAATTATTTTTGCTGTTTCTTCATCCTGAGCCTTTGTTCCTTCTATTTGTCTGTCTTTGGTTTGAAAGGGTTAATGAGAACAGCAGATTTCCTTCATAATATGTCTTCTTGCTCCACTTGCTCTGTTTTTGGGTTTTTTTTTTTAGTAAATAGTTTTTCATTTTTTTCCAATTACATGTAAAGATAGTTTTCAACATTTATTTTTTATAAGATTTTGAGTTCCAAATTTTTCTGCCTCCCACCTTTCATTCCCCCTCCCCACGACAGCAAGCAATCTGACATAGGTTATAAGTATGCAATCATGTTAAAAATCTTTCCACATTAGTTGTGAAAGAACAGTACAAAAGGGAAAAGCAACGAAAAACAAAAACAAAAAAAATGTTAAAATATTATGCTTTGATCAGAATTCAGACTCCATAGTTCCTTCTCTGGATGTGGATTTTCAGCTGTGAATCTTTTGGAATTATCTTAGATCATTTATTGCTGAGAAGAGCTAAGTAGATCATAGTTGATCATCACACAATGTTGTTGTTACTGTGTACAGTGTTCTTCTGGTTCTGCTCACTTCACACAGCATCAGTTCATGTACGTCTTTCCACGTTTTTTTTGAAATCTACCTGCTCATCATTTTTTATAGTATTCCATTACATTCATATGTTTGTTCAGCCATTCGCCAATTGATGCAATTTCCAATTCTTTGCCACCAAAAAGAGGTGTTATAAATATTTTTGTACATATAGGTCTTTTTCCCTTTTTTATGATCTCTTTGGGATGCAGACCTAGTAAGTAATATTTCTGGATCAAAGGATATGCACAATTTGATTGCCCTTTGGGCCTCGTTCCAAATTTCTCTCACAACTTCACCAACAATGCATTAGTCTCCCAATTTTTCCACATCTTCTCCAACATTTATCATTTTCCTGGTTTGTCATGTTATCCAATCTGATGAGTGTCAGGTGGTACTTGAGAGTTATTTTAATTTGCATTTCTCTAATCAGTGGTGATTTAAAGCATTTTTTCATATGACTATAGATAGCTTTAATTTCTCCATCTGAAAACTGCCTGTTCATATCCTTTGACCATTTATCAGTCAGGGAAGGACTTATATTCTTATTAATTTGACTCCGTTCTCTATATATTTGTGAAATGAGGGCTTTATCAGAAACACTTGTAAAAATCCTTTCCCAGCTTTCTGCTTTCCTTCTAATCTTGGTTGCATTGGTTTTGTTTGTGCAAAACCTTTTTAATTTAATGTAATCAAAATCATCCATTTTGCATTTCATTATGTTCTCTGTCTCTCTTTTGGTCATAAATTCTTCCCTTCTCCATAGATCTGACAGGTAAATTATTCCTTGCTCTCTTAATTTGCTTATAGTATCATCTTTTATGTCTAAATCGTGTACCCATTTTTACCTTACCTTGAGATATGATATGAGATGTTGGTCTATGCCTGGTTTCTGCCACACTATTTTCCAGTTTTCCCAGAAGTTTTTGTCAAATAATGAGTTCTTATGCCAGAAGCTGGAGTCTTTGCTTTATCAAACAGTAGATTACTATAGTCATGTACTACTGTATCTTGTGTACCTAATCTATTCCACTGATCCACCACCCTATTTCTTAGCCAGTACCAAAAAGTTCACTTGCTCTCTATGTAAGCTTAGGATATCGTAAGAGACTTCCAGTAAGCTTAGAGGTAGAGCTTTACTAGTCTGCTTTGATTTGTCTTTTTAAATATCTGAGCTGTGTTGAGTGTTTGGTCCTGGTGCTCACATTTTAAGTACTCATATGCAGCATCACATTTTCTTGGGAAAAATACCCTGAATCTGTTTCATTTATTCTATTATAATTTGTCATCTTTGCATGCAATTCTGATTTTAACCACTTAGGTTTCCCTCTACAATAAGTGAAATGAGTACAGTCACAAAATTCCGGAATGAATGGAGTTGAACACATGAATCTGTTTGTCATTGGACTTTTCATAGTCATTCCCACCCCTTCCTCCACCATCCACCTCATGCTTATAAACTGCTAAGGAGGAAAAAGTGAGGCTGGTGACCTTGTACTTAAATCCAATTCACTTGCAAGTCATAGCATCATCTTCCTGATGTCATGGTCCTCTTTGAGAGCTAAAGACAAACAACAACATAAATGGTTGACACTCGGGAAGTGGAAAGTTTCTGACAGGTTATTCATGTATCCAGAATGATACCCGAATGTATCTATTTCCAAACTCTAAAACCAAATTTCAATAATTGTCAGATAAACTCTGATTCCCAAATTGGCTATACCTTTGCTTCCCTTATTTACAGTAGTTAATTGAGGTGTGAATATTTGATAAAATTTAGGAGTAAGGACAGTTTTAGACAAAGAGCCAATTCATATCTCATCTAGGTTTCTGTCCTGTGACTTCCTCATTCCTATATTCTGACTGTGTCAGTAATTCATTCTTTACCAGGTAGGGCTTATTTTCTATTGACTTGAAGGAAGCTGGGGAGGGATGTGTTTTTTGAACACTGCTGCATCCGTTTGAAAAAAAAAAACCCTGGGGAGATCCTGATGTTGTGTATGTCAACATGCATCTTTTCCTGAATGTTGACCTGAATTGAAACATGCCCAAGGGCCTTGTTTCCTGTAATGTGCACAAGGCCAAGAAGAATTAGAAATGAATTTGTTCTAACCACATGAGAAGGATGTGGAGTGTGGTTAGAAACATTTCAGAAATTGCCCCTAAAGATGTCCTTGAGTATGGAATCCCCAGCTTCCTAAGGAGGCCTTTCATGGCATCCAATTAGCTGATTGCTTTACTTTAAGGTTTAGAGAAAAAGAAATCAATAAATCTTTTGATGCTATTTCTTTGGGCAGGGGGTCAAGAGATAGAGGGCAAAGACTGCTGGCATTGTGTCTTTTCTTTTTTGGATGCCACACACCACAGATTTGAAGTCAGCACCACCAATGGGTCATTGGGTGGCTAAGTTGTTGTGATTTGAAAAGGCCCTTGACTCTGTCTCTGTGGATTACAGATTAAGCTCTAATCAGTTGAATATGATGGGCTGCGTGTTGGATTTATTAGTACATGCTTTTGAGTCTAGTGGAATCAGCTTATGACTTGCATATATAATTGCTGTCCCATCCAAGCCCTGCCAGCCCCTCATGACTTGGCCTAGTAGTATGATCAAGTACCTTCGGACATATCATTGAGCATGCTGAAAGTGTGCTGAAAGTTAAATATCAAGTATGTGGAGGGGAGTGGGGAGAAAGGGTTTCTGTAGACAAGTCCCTCATTACAGTTGGAGAAATTGTTGAATATAAAGAGATAAAGTATCTTGCCAGGGTTAAATGGTGAGTTAGATGACAGAATCAGCTTAGGACTTAGGTTTGATTCTTGCTTTCTTTCCCCTTCCCTCTTCTGCCCTGTTCCCTTCCTTATCCTCACCTTTAGTGGTATAGATTTGGTGAAATGATGCAGTACAATAGGATACAAGACAGTTAAGTACATCCCAATAGCATCTATTAAGTGCCTACTTTGTGCAGAGTGTTCTCCTGGAAATACCAAGTGAATACAGTCTCATGAAGGTTACAGGGTAGTAGAGGTCAGAGAAGACGTCAACACGAATAGCTCTAGAAGCCGATATTATGTGAAAAGTGCATTAGATGCTCCTCTCCCCGGCCACTTCTCTTTTGGAGCCCTTAATGTGCAATTGCAGGATATGGCCTCAGTCCATTTCCCCTTTCACTCTGTGGCTGCTCTCCCTGTCCTTGTTTTCTACCTTCAGGACTCAGATTGCAGGTGTGAAAGCCTTGTTCCACCTGTTGTTGTCCAGATTGGGATTTCTACTTTATCCTCTTGATTTTTCACCCTCCCATTCCTTATACCTTTGATGCTAAGCTGGAGTGACTGAGGAAACTTAGAAAGTCCACTTCATGTCCTGAGTTCTGACTGATGTAGGTAGATATTGCTTTTCTGCAGCTCCATTTTGAATGGACATTCTCTGCTGTTATAAGTGAAATGGAATAAACACCTGTCAGGCACTATCACACAGCCCACTAGATCTCCAGTCAGTTTCTGGAGGGAACACAGTAACTTTGTGTGACAACTCTGCTTCTTCTTCTTGTTCTGCTAATACTATGTGTTCCCAGGAGTAGGATTAAGAAGATAGGTATTGGATTCCATGGCTTTATCAGACCCATTTCCCAAATGTGGACTCTAAACATCATCCCTTTATTAATTCATCCCTCTTAAATTAATACTTTATTCAAAGTCTTCTCTGCAGATATATAATCTGTTTTTGGTAGGTTAATCAGGAATCAGAGTCAATACACCTTTATTGAGTGCCTACTGTGGGCCAAGCCCTGTGCTAAATGCTGGGAATACAAAGAAAAGAATAAGACAGTCTCTGCCCTCAAGGAACTCACAATCTAATGGGGATGAGGCCAGATGAAGTTCTGCAGGGATTGGGGGTGGTAAGGGGCATGGTGGTGAGTTTCAAAGTCTTGTAAAATGATGAGTTTCTGGAGATCATGAAGTCTAGGAAAACAGATGATTAGGAAATAATGACAATCCATAATATTCCATGATGATCCATGTTATTTTTGTGTGTTTCTATGTTTCTCGAGCATCCCCAGCTAAATTTTCTTCTCGAGGATGGAGAACTGTGCCTTTCATTTCCATTACATCTCCCCTTGGTACTCTGTGGAGTATATTGCAGATGTGTTGTTCAATGAGCGTAGAATTATAGTGTTAAAGCGGAAGAATCACAGAGATTATCTAGTCCAACTGATTTACTTAACAGAGAAGGAAGCAAAGGTATAGAGTT